CATACAACCTACCAAGACCGAATCAGGAAGAAATAGAAATGTGAAGGGGCCACTACCAAGTAAGGAGATTAAACAGTAATCCAAAACCTACCAACACAGAGAAGCCCAGGACCAGATGGCTTCACTGGTGAATTACACTAATCATTTAAAAAAGAATTAATGCAAATCCTTTTCAAACTCTCCAAAAAAACTGAAGAGGAGGGAGCACTCCCAGACTCATTCTACAAAGTCAGCATTGCCCTCATACCAAAGCCAGATGAGGACACTGCAAGAAAACCACAGACCGATATCCTCAGTGAATACAGATGCAAAAATTGTCAATAAAATACTAGCAAGCGAATTCAACAGCCCATTAAAGGACCACACACCATGATCAAGTGGGATTTATCCTTGGGGTGCAAGACGGTTCAACACACACAACTTAATAAACATGAGACACCATATTAATAGAATGAAAGATAAAAATCATACGATCATCTGAATAGACGCAGAAAAGCATTTTACAAAATACATCCTCTCATAATAAAAACTCTCAACAAATAAGAGTATAGAAGGAACATACTTCAACATAATAAAGGCCATATATGACAAGCTCACAGCTAACATTATACCCAACAGAGAAAGGTTGAAAGCTTTTCCTCTGAGATCAGGAACAAGACAAGGGTACCCACTCTCACCACTCCTGTTCAACACAGTACTGGAAGTCCCAGCCAGAGCAATCAGGCAAGAAAAAGAAAAGGCACCTAAATCAGAAAGGAAGAAGTTAAATTGTCTGTTTGGAGATGATCTTATATATAAAAAATCCTAAAGACTCCACCAAAAAACTCAGTATTAATAAATAAATTCAGTAATGTTGCAGGATGCAAAACTAACATACAAAAATCAGTTGTGTTTCTGTACACTAACAACGAACTATCTGAAAAAGAAATAAAACAATCTCGTTTCCAATAGCATCAAAAACAACAAAACACTTAGGAATAAATTTAACCAACGAGGTGAAAGATTTGTATACTGAAAATCATAAAATATTGATGAAAGAAATTAAAGAAGACATAAACAAAGGGCGATATCTCATGTTCATAGGTCAAAAGAATTAATATTGTTAAAATGCCCACACTACCCAGAGCCATCTGTAGAGTCGATGCAATCCTTATCAAAGTTCCAATGACATTCTTCACAGAAACAGAAAAAACAATCCTAACATTCTTCATGCAACCACAAAAGACCCTGAACAGCCAAAGCAATCTTCAGAAGGAAGAACAAAGATGGAGACATCACAATTCCTGACTTCAACCTATACTACAAAGCCATAGGAGTCAAAACAGTATGGCACAGGCATAAAAACAGAGGCTGCACCTGGATCCACAGTCCTGCTCTTGAAGAAAATCCCTCACAATTTCCTTTATAGGAGAGATCAATCGACAGGTAACACCTTCATTTTTGTTTATAAGTAGATTTTTAAATACCACCCAATTCTTTATTTTTAATAACTTTGATGTAATTTATATACCTACGTAAGACAATTTATATACACTACATAAAACAATGAAATTAAGAGCCCAGAAATAAACCCAGACATCTATGGGCAATTAATATTTGACAAGGGAATCAAGAGTATTCATGGGGAAAGGACAGTCTCTTCAACATATGGTGCTGGAAAAACTGGACAGTCACAGGCAAAAGAATGAAACTGGATCCTGTCTTACACGACTCACAAAAATTACCTCAAAATGGCTTAAAGACTTAAATGTGAGACCTGAAACCATAAAATTCCTAGAAGAAAACATAGAGAAAAAGCTCCTTGATATTGGTCTTGGTGATGACTTTTTGGATATGACACCCAAACCATAAGCGACAAAAGCAAAAATAAACAAGTGGGACTACATCTAACTACAAAGCTCTACACAGCAAAGGAAACCACCAAAATAAAAAGGCAACCTACAGAGTGGGAGAAAATATTTGTAAGCCAGCCATCTGATAAGTGGTTAATATCCAAAATAACTCATACGACTCTAGAGCAAAAAAATAAACAATTCAATTAAAAACTGGGCAGAGGAACTGAGTGGACATTTTCCCAAAGAAGATAAACAACTGGCCAAAAGGCACATGAAGAGACGCTCAACATAACTAATCAGCACAGAGATGCAAATCAAAACCCCAAGGAGCTATCACCTCACACCTGTTAGAACGGCTTTCATCAAGACAAGAGGGGCCGGCCCAGTAGCGTAGTGATTAAGTTCAAGTGTTCCACTTTGGTGGCCTGGGGTTTGCAGGTTCAGATCCTGGGCATGGACCTAGCACCGTGCATCAAGCCACACTGTGGTGGCACCCCACACAAAACAGAGGAAGATCGGCACATATGTTAGTTTAGTGACAATCTCCCTCAAGTAAAAAGAGGAAGATTGGCAACAGACGTTAGCTCAGGGCCTCATAAAAAAAAGACAAGACGACGATGACAAGAGATAAGTGTTGGCGAGGAAGTGGAGAAAAGGGAAAAGGGAAGCCTCGTGCACTGTTGGCAGGAACTGGTGCAGCCACTACGGAAAACAGTATGGAGCTTCCTCAGAAAGTTAAAAATAGAACTACCATTTGGTTCAGCAATCCCACTTCTGGGAATATATCAGAAAGAAGTACAGATTTTTCTCTAAGCACAACCTTTGAAGTATTCCACAAGTTTTGATTAAAGTTAAATTGAATTAAAATGCCTTTCCATGTTGATCCACTTTGATCCATTTTGATGCCTTTCCATTAGATCTTCTTCGTGGTCTGGCATGCGGCCGACTTTGAAAAAGTTCCAACGAGCACGTGGGAAGAACGTGTGCTCCAGGACTGCCGGAAGCAGCGTTCTACACGTCCATTAGGTAATCACGTTGTTCAAATGTTCCACATCTTACTCATTTTTTATATACTGTTTCTTAAACGTTTGTCATAGATATTGAAGTTGACATCTTAAAATTGTATAGTATCTTGATCCTTTTTCTCCAGGGCAATAAAAGGGGGATTTGAAACAATTTAGCTCCTTTCCTGCTCATCCCAACTTAATATTTCCCAATATTTTATTGTTTTTGAAAATTTCATTGTGAGACCCTTTTGTGCAGAGCACTTAGACACATCTGGGTGTTTACTGTTCGATTTGTTCACCGCTCCTTCTTGCTCTTAGAACCTCCTCCTGGAGCTGTATTCCTGCTCTTGAAGAAAATTCCTTACAATTTCCTTCATAGGAGGGATCACCTGCAGGGAACGCCTTCATTTCTCTTTATAAATGGATTTTTAAATGTCACCCGATTCTTTATTTTTCATAACTTTGATGTAATTTATATGCCAAAAAGTTCACCCTTTTAAGTGTGCAATTCAATCACTTTCAGTGAATTTAGTTATGCCAATATCACCACTAATTCCAGAACAATTTCATCACCTCAAAAAGAAACCCACATGTATTAGCAGTCACTCCCCGCTTCCCCCACCCCCAGCCCTGGCAACCGCTAACCTGCTCGAGTCTCTATGGTTTGCCTATTCTGGACGTCTCACATAAATAGGATCACACAACATGTGGCCTATTGTGTTCGGCTTCTTTCACGCAGCAGAATGTCTTCAAGGTTCACCCACGTTGTAGGCTGTGTCAGTGCTTCTCTTTTTATGGCTAAATAATAGTCCATGGTATGGATGGACCACATTTTATGTGTCCATCATTCACTGATGCATCTTTGGTGTTTCCACTTCTTGGCTATTGAGGATGACGCTGCTCTGAACATGTGTGTACAAGTTTATGTGCTACATGGTTTCAATTCTCGCGGGTGGACACCTGGGAGTGGAACTGCTAGGTCAGAGGGTGTTTGTCATTCCTGAACAACAGTTTTACTGAAGACTCAACTCTGTACTGAGAATTTTTTTCTCTCAGTGCCTTCTTGGTGCCACCGGATGCTTCCGACTTTCAGCGGCTGTTGAGCAGTCTGCCACGGTTCCTTCATGCGAGTGGAGGTGGGCTGTCCTTCCCCTGGCTGCTTTCAGAATTATCTTTGTCTTTAGTGTTCCGCGTGTGTCCAGGCAGGAATTTATTTTTATTTCTATTTGGGACGTGTTCTGCTTCCTGAATCTTTTAAATGTCATCTTTCGTCTGTCCTCTCCCCTCTGTCCTTCTGGGACTCCAGACACGTGTTCACCACACCCTCTCCTGCCAGCTTCACGGCTGTCCTTCCCAGTTCCATCCCTGGAGAGCGGCTCTCCTGGACGACTGTCTAGGGAGGCCCCTCATCTCGCGGTGCCCATCCTTGGAGGACAGACAGGCATGGCATATAGAAAAGCCGCCCTGCTGCAGGGAGCTCCTCCCCCCGCCCGCCTTCACCCCTGAGCATGCCCTGGTGTAAATGACCCAGCCCAGGAAGCCCCAACGTGGGGAAGGAGAAGAGGCAGGATGTTTGGGATGGCAACTTCGAACGCTTTCCAGAAAAAGCAATGAGAAGTCACGGTCTATGTCAGTGAGTACAATTTTGTGGTGGAATTTCACAAACCCTGCTAACGTAACTGCCAAAACGGTGTGATCGAAACAGGCCAGACACTGCTGGTCACATGTAATGTAAACCACCTCTGGGGCTTCTGTTTGGAACCGTTTCCTCTGCCTTTCTTCTTGTAAATTTTAGATGATAAGGCTCCTTTGGACACGACTTTCTCTAAGGACCCCAGAGCCTTAACTTTCCGGAGCTGGAAGAGGCCTGTGTCATTCGACAGCACAGTGTGCACTGCAGCAGGCTCCCCCTGACTCGAGGGGTGACTGTGTCTGAGAGGGGTGCGCCACCGGGCAGTGCTCTGTATCGGGGGAGTAGACATTCCAGGTCCTGTTGCATGGGACCGACAGAAACGGCACACCCCTTCCTTTGAAAGGACCACCCACAAGTACTGTCAGCCCAGCTAGAAAGGCCCATGGGGTGAGCCCTGAGCACCTACCAAGAATGAGGCCAGCCTGGGGTGAACCACCCCTTAAGAGGAAGTAACATTAAAGCTGCTGTGGTCATAAATACATTTTATTTCATTAGAAATGCATAATTACAGTGTTGAGAGCATTTCCCCCTAGAAAAGTAGGTAAGCAATATTTCCATCAAAATCATTAGTTGTCTTTGCAAATACCTATTTTCATTACACTGACAGAGCACACAGCAAAAGGCTTCTGCTACTCCACTTTTTTTTCAATTTTCTTTTTTGTTATAAACACCATAGCAAATTAAAAAAAGCTGTTTGAACAGAGAAAAATATTGTAGTTCTTGATTCTCCGCGTGAACTGAATACAATCCACACTGTGCTTCCCCAATCTTTCTCTGACACCAACAGTATGACTCAAAAGAAAGGGGGTCTTCTGGCAGAGGGGGTGGTTGTTACCATCTTTTATTTACTGGGGCACTTCCCCCGTGGACGAGGCTCTCGGACGCACTTTGACAGAACACGTGCAGTCACCTCCCGTGAGAAGCCGTGGGACCGGGGCACGTAGAACAGGGCGGTTGGCGGGAGCCGGTGCTGAGCGCGGGGCGGCCCCGGCTCGGGTCCTGTCGCAGTCGGGCGGCCCGGCCTGCATCACTGGATCTGAATCGCTCCGTGCTCGAGTTGCATCTCGGGCTGCAGGGTGGGCTGCAGGGTCTCGGCCGTCTGCGGAAGGGGAGAGAGGGGGGCTTTTCGACAACAGTGCCCACCAATGCGAGTCCGGGCCACTCACCAGTCATAAACACCATGGCTGTGTGAGTGAACACACCCAGAGCTAGACGGGCCGGGGGTCCTGGGCTCCCCTCTGCTGTGGGAGACGGCTCTCCCAGGACTCCAGCTGCTCGCAGCAGCTCTGACAAATCTGGGGCTGTGGGCCCTCCTTGTGGGGCTTCTGTGGCCAGCCCCCTCCCGACCCTCCACACACACGCTCCACGGCTCCCCCAGCCTGTGGGGCTCACTTCCCACTCCCACCCTCAGCTTCCCACTGGGGAAGACCCTGCAAGTGGCGACCCGTCCTTCACCTGACGTATTTCCCTAGACTGTCAGTCGCCCTTTGGCCTTCTTATACAAACCATCCCAGTGTTCCAAAAAAGCGTTTGAGGGGCAGCTCTCTTTCTCCCCTTAAAGACATGAGTTCTAATCAATGAGTTGAGAATATTAAGAGGAGTTTAAAAGCATATGTGCAGTTTTAAGTTAAAGGAAAAAATACAATCTTGGAATAAGTCAACCACCCAGCCCCCAAATGGAGATTATTTGGGGTTTTTAGGCTCCCCAAAGCCATGGGTCAAAGGTGAAGGAAGAGGCAGAGAAGCCATGGAGCCTGGGGTGCAGGGTCCTGGGTGAGGGGCCGGCGCTACGCTCTCACTACGGTCTCAGGCTACACTTCCGAATCCACACGTCTAAGGGCAGTCAGCAGAGTCTCCTGAGAGCAGGGGCTCCGTGCAGATCAAGGACGAGCACAGGCATCGTCCTGCTGTCCACAGGGCCCACGAGAGTGGCCGGGTGGCAGTAACAAGAAAGGATTAACCTGTGACCCAGATGGTGGGGAGGTCCCCACAAGTTTCCGGACAAGGGACAGTGGGTTAGGGTGTGCTGGTGGCTGCAGGCGGAGGGAGGGAGGGAGGCTCCGGGGGGTGGGTTACAGGCTGTGCAGAGGGCGCCTCTCCAGGTACTGAGAGCCCCTCCCTTTGAAAAACTGGAAGAGGCAGCTTTGGATTCGGGCACCCGGGAATGGTGGGCCAAGGGATAAGGAGCTGAGCCCAGGACTCCAGGAGCTCCTCTCTGATCAGGGATCCCTGCCCTTCTCCCCTGTCCTCAAAATGTACCGGCCAGATCTGTGTCTCAGGCAAGAGACAGCAGGGCAGCCTGCAGAAAAGTGGCTTCAGCTGCAGACGTTCGAGGGAACCTAGGACACCCCACAGCCCCAGGCACCCCACGGTCCTCAGCACTCAGGCATCTGCCACGCAAGTGGTGCCAGGACAGCACTCACGCCCTGGCGCTTGCGGCCCTCCCGACTGGCTGCTCCAGGGAGCAGGCACCACGTCCCCCGCCAGCTCTCTGCCCTCGTTTTAGGAGCAGCCCATCCCCTCAGAAGCCAGGCCCCTCCTTCAGCCTGAGAGACACCTGGTGGGACATTCTCGTCAGCTGATCAGTCTTCTCCAGGAACGAGTTTAGATGTGTGACCCCGTTCTGACCAGCACACTAGGCAAGGAAATCCCACAAGAATGAGGGGCCCTTCGTGCTGAGAAAGAGACCGTCCGGAAGCCCCTTCCTTCTGTGGGCATGGCCCCGCCTGCACGAGGCCCAGTGGGGCCCAAGAAGGGACAGAAGGAAGCTGGGCCTCCAGGACACACACTGTGGTGCTGACCAGGCCTGGAGCCAGCACCTCTAAATCATTTGTGGCACCAGCAGCCTCGTGCTTTGTTCTCACTGACCCTCTCCCCTCTCAGGACCAATCCTATGGTTTTTCTCCAAAAAACAGGAATATGCCCTGACTTCAGGACTGGTCGTTCTAGACGCAATCAACCAACCAGATGAACTGGATCACGCTGTCCCCTAAAGGGGACCAAGCGCCAGGCTTCTGGCCGGCTCTCCGTGCCAGCACAGGGGTGGGGGGCCAGGCCCGGTTCCCCCAGACCCAGGGGACTCTGAAGAGAGAGGCCACGGTGCTCAACTGACCAAGCGCACTTACCGCGGGGTGGCTGTGTGAACACCTCAAACACAAGCAGTGGCCCTCTCGTCTGACACTCAGGAAGGTGTCCAAACGGCGTTTGAACCCGGGTTCTCCAGTGCTCCTGGAGCAGCACTGACAATGGGCAGCACAGGAGGGCAGCCGTGGTCCAGCAAAACCAGAAACCAGAGGCTGTGGTGGGGAGGCCAGTCGGTGCTCACAGTCAATCGACATGCTGAGTCAGCACGCAACGAACAGAGGGGAAATCGGGCCTTACGTATGTGGAGTTCCCGAGAAGGCCATTGGGCTGCCAGCTAGAAACGCACTGAAGGAAGCTGGAAACCAGGCCAAACGGTGCCCAGAGGACCAAGTGCAAGCACCCAGCTGTCCGGGCCATCCTGCGTTTCTACCACAAACGAGGAGCTGCTCAGACGCAAGGACCCTATAAACCTGCCCCTGGGAAAAGGGTCGAGGCTGAGGGCTGGGCTTACAAACCAAAGCCTGTGGCCTGCAGGAGCACTGACCCCTGGGCTGGGCCCACCCCACTCAGAGGAGCAGCGAGGTCTCAGGTGAACTGGGACGCCTTCGCTCTGCAGCCCCCAGGAACGGGCTCAGTATAGGACACAGGGCAGAGCTTAATTTTTGCCTCTGAATTTACAGATAAACATTTGCATTTTTGTCTCTGAATTTACAGATAAACATTGCACAAGACAGAATATCTCAAGAATTGGTTTAAGATTCGCAAGTGAGCCAGGATCTAACTTCCCACCTTCACGTTTTCAGGCATTCTTAAAAATTATAATCCCAAATGGGTGTCCAAGTCCAAATCATGCATCTTTCAATGACAGTTTACCTTCCTAGTGGGAGAATGTCAGTAGAAAAACCCAAGCTGTGTTCACACCCGCTGAAGCCCTGGGACCTGTCCAAGGACAGGTCCACTTCCAGAAGGGGGACCCACCTGAGCTGCAGTGGTGTGGTCAGTCACCGGCGCCAGCTGGACGTACTGGACCTGGATGTCACTGCCCTGGAGAGGTGAGCCGTCCACCCCTGCAGCGGCTGGGTCAGAAGAGGCCACGGCTATCAGTTGGGCCCCCTGCAGTACCTGGAGAGACAAAGCAAGCCACTGTCAGCACAGACACGGTGCAGGCAGAGGCAAGTGCCGCTCTACCATGACGCCACGAAGCAGGGAGGATGGCCCAGGACAGGACTCCACACCGTGGGGTCTGCCTGTCTCGTGAATCAGTTTGGAGTAACGTCTGATTGGTGAGTGTATGTGTGTGTGGTGTGTACATGGCTGTCAACATGTACGGCATGGTCAAGTTGTTCTGCTCCATCTGCAAGTTACTTCTCTCAAACATCCACATATTCGACAGAAAGATGAGTTTTTAAGCTTTACAGGAAAAAGAAAAACCAACCAGTTTGAGTTTCCAAAGAGTAAGCAGAGGGACACAGCGGAGGCTGCACCTGAGAGCCCTGGGATGGAGCGACGGCGGGGTCTGGACAGGGAGGGACCTTCTGGAAATCACTGTTGCTTTAGGTTCATGGGGAGGGGAGACCCAGAGGGCAGCCAGGACGGGGACAGGGAGACGGCAGCATGTCCTCGACTTGTAGTAAGACACATTCATCGGTTCTTTTGGGGAGCCCCCGAAGTACTTGAGAATTGGGGGAGATGATGAAGCCCCCAAGAGTTGACAGTCAAGTTTAAGAAACAACGCAGAAACGTGTGTGTAAGTTACCAAACCCAGCACTCCAGATGGAGTGATGAACTCCGGGTGAGGAGAGGTGGGTTAGGAGAGGGCAGACACGGTGAAGGAAGGCTGGAGAACTCCCGGGGTTGAGACCGAGCGCCTGGGGGAGGTCTCACACCCCCCGAGGAGACAAGTCACAAACGCAAGGGTCTCTGCCCTTGGAGGAGGGGGACAGACCAGGTCCCCAGAGATGGGCTCTGGGTGACTCCATCACTCATGAGCACCCCCATGTCCAGGCCCACCTCCCACCCAGCCCACCTGGGGCTCCAACAGCCAGGCAGGTGGGCTGGCACCTTGATGCCCCCGCAGGCCAGGATCCGGGGGTGGGGGTGCCTCTGAGGCTTCACATTCAGGAGAGTGAGTTGCCATGAGCTGTGGGGGTTTTCATTTGGGGTTACGTCTCACCCTCTCAAATTAGATGCCCATGGGACCACCTTCTGGGGTCACCTGTGGACTGTTCACAGCAGGGCAACAAGGATCACACTTCAGGGTCAGCCCGCTGCGTCCTGGCGCAGTTGTGAGAGCTGAGGAGGAAGGTGCGGATACTCGGAGAGAGGAGGGACTGCCCACCCCGGGAAAGGTGGGATTGGGCACAGACCACCAGGAGTCCGTATAAAAATACAGTCCATGGTTTTAAAACAGCATCCTAGTTTTTGATGAGCAAGAGTTCTATTTCTTTAACAATGAATCCATCAGTGGAAAAAACAGGTAAGTTCCATTTTTAGAATAAGAGACGGCAGAAAGTTCTGAACTATTTTTCCTTTTGAGCCTTCAGAAACCATTTGCAAACACAGTTCCCCATTCTGACACCAGCCAGCTATGCCAGGAAGAATAATGCCCCCTGAGACATGTGTGCCCTACTCCTCAGACCTGGTGGGTATGTGCCCTGACCCAGGCAAGGACACTCTGCAGATGGGATAAAGTTAATGCTCTCGAGATGGGGGTAGGGTCCTGGAGTATCAGGTGGGCCCAACGTCAATGGGCATCTTTAAAAGCAGAGAATCTTTCCCGCCTACAGAGGGGCAGAGAGATGCAACATGAGGCAGGGCTGACCGACCAGGCATTCCTGGCTTGGAAACCAGAGGAGGGGCCATGAGCCAAGGAATGCACGTGCCTCCGGAAGCTGGAGAAGAGGCAAGGAAACAGATTCTCCCCTGGGTTCTCCAGCCCTGCCACATCTTAAGTGTGGTCCAGTGAGACCCACGAGGGCTTCTGACCTCCAGGCTGTTAGTCAATGTGCGTCATTTAAGCCACTAGGTGTGTGGTCACCTGTCACAGCAGCCACAGGACACGCACACAGCGGCTCTTGCTGTTTCCTCGGCTGCCTCCTTCTGAGCGCAGAGCTTCTAGCTCCCCAAAGGGCTAACCCAGCCACGTTGGCTCTTTATTAACACACTGTTCTTTTCCATTATAAACCATTTGCACTAATGAGTTTTGGAAAGGTTTAAAAAAACTGGAGAAAACTGAAGTCTCCTCTGTTCTTCATTTCTTTTCCTCAGCACTTCTCCACCAGACCTTCCGTGTTAAGAAAATAGCACATGGTCCTGTCTGGTGCCGGAGCTTTGCTTCCCTATCCCCAGGGGGGCAGCCATCCCCTGACGAGGCCCGCTGGGGGACAAGCAGCCCTGGGCAGCAGCCGGCAGGGCCTCAGCAGAGCCGGGGCTGGCCCAGCCTGGGAGCAGCCGCAGGGCAGCAGAGCTTGGGGGCCTTTCCGTAGCGCTCAAAGCTGAGGGTCCTCTCCTCACGGGTCTCCCTCATGGCTTGGAAGGTGTCGTTTTGTAAGGAAGCACAAGTTGCAGGAGGTCTCCCTAGCCTCGTTAGCAAGTGTGGTGACATGCCCTCCACTCCACAAACACCCAGGCGACAGACAGTCAAAGGGGAAGGAAGCCGATGTTGATGAGGAGAGACTGAGACTGAGACACAAGGGAGAAGGCAGGCGGGCGTCTCGATGGGCCAGTCAGACAGGGACTTGGTCATGACACAGAGGAAAGTGGAAATGTCTGTGTGTGCTCTTACACAGGCTCTCCGCTGTCTAACGGGGCTCGTGTGGCTGGTCCTCAGCCAGGCAATTCTAGGGGAAAAGCTTTAGAGACTCAAATGAAAAGCGTTGAGAAGAAAAGATTAAGGAGGGTGAGAGTTCTTGAGAGTTCTGCCATCTTGGTAAGCAAGAAAATAAACGGTATGTTATGAACACCTAACTTTGCGGCAAAACACAACATCACCTGAGGTGTGAGTGGAAGCAAGCGTGGAGAAATGCCAAGGGGGGAGGAGGGAGCCGCAGGAGCCAGGCCTGCGCTGAGCACCCGCTCCGTCCCACCACTGGTCCTCAAGACCCGATGCCGCCTCGCCTCACTCTCAAGGGGCTGGGCACCCACTCCACGGCCCCAGTGCGACACGCTCCTTCCTTGCCCCTCTCAGCAAGGCTGAGCCAGCTGACACGTGTAAAGGAACTTTACACCACTAGGATTCCCTGTGACAAGACAAACCTACATCTTCAAGAGGGGCCATGAGCAGGCAGGCAGTCGTAGTCTCTGAACCCAAATGCCACTTTTCTACGCCAGCCAGCCCTAGACAACTCTTTGAGAAGGTTCACTCATGCGCTCTGTAAACTTCAAAGCACCACTGAAAGATCAAGCGCAACAGATTACAAAACGGTTACAAACACAGAGATGTCGCTACACTGAGCCAACTACAGACTCCTTAAAGTGCAAGATTATAGGCAGCATCTGATGAAAGCGAATGCAACTTCCTGGTAAGTCTGAACTAATGAAATGGATATTTGCTTTTTCTTCAAATTTTAAGCGAGCCATCTAAATCATCTTAAATTAAATTCTCTCTTAAGATCAAATGCCAACAAGCGACTGGCCTTCACAAAATGCTCTCCAGCATCTGCGGATCTGCATGCTCTGGAAGGCCATCGGGCTGCTCTGACTACATGTCACCCAACACGCTCAGGCCAAGCTGGTCCTGCTCCCCACCCAGGGCCCGCTGCTCCCTGCAGCACCCTGAACAATTTCGTCCCGGATGGCAGCCTATCACGTGAACCCCTCCTCTCCAGAACACCAAAGTCAGGTCTCTATTAAGGACCTACTGTGTGCAAGACACTGCGGGGGTAGGAATGAGACCCCAACGGGCCTACGCTGCAGAACAAACACAGAACTATGAAGAACCGGGGACTGTGTTCTCAGCATGAGCACACGAGAACTGAACAGGGTCTGGTTTCTTAGCTGAGGAGACTCGGGTAAACTCTACAGGAAGGTGGGGCTGGCGAGGGCAGGGAAGGAGACAGAGGGAAGGCAGAGCGCATCTTAGGGAGAGGGAACGCGCAGGCCCAGAGAAGGCAAAGAGGAGACCAGGGGGAGGAGGGTGTCAAGAGAGGAGATGTGGGCTCAGTGCCACACGGAACTAGCCGGCTTGTGACTTACAGCCCCTAGTCCCTCGGGGCCGCCCTGACTTCTACTCTGTCCCGAGTCCCTCAGGCCTCCTGTGACTTCCACTGTCACTTGCCCCTCAGGGCTGGTTTACTTGATCCTGGTCTGAAATTAAAAAAAACATCCACGCATGTTTTGATAAACTAAGCTAAAATTTTAGGTATTATAATGTGGTCACAGTTTTGTAATCATTGCACATTTTATAAGATCCCTTTAGTGAATTTAGGTCAAATCATCTATTTTTTAATTTAACTTACGAAATCATGGAGTTTATTTCCAGAAGGTTCTGCCTGTACTCTACTTTTGGTGATGAGCCAGTACCCCCTACAAATGGAAGGCATTTTATGCTATCATAAGAGTGATTTTTTTCCTGTCGGCAGTGCCAACAAAGCAGCTTTTCATATGATCTACAGTTGATTAAATCTTAAGAAGTATAATGTCAGAAACCTCAGAATCTAAATGTGCAGTGTTACAATAATGAAGGCGGACACATTACTAACCTGGCTGGTAAATGAAAACAAAATTAGGAAAATGCTCCTAACTTGGAATTCATTCAGAACGCCAGGCCTCAGAAAGGTTTCCACATCTTCAGATGGTTCTGATACGCGCTTCAGAAATGAGCTGAACAGGTGACCGCACAGGACGGAGGGAAAGACCCTCCAGCCCACTGCATTCCTCGCCCTCCCCTCCCGGCACTCCAGAGCCTGCAGAGAAATCCCGCTCACGGTGACCTCCAAGTGAGGATGCCCAGATGGGGTCCATCCGCCCAGGAGACACCGTGCTGCAAAAGGGGTCCGTGTTCTCCAGACGGGGACAGCTAGTGCAGCTGCTGGGAGACAAGCTTCTCTAAGGAAAGCATGGCTTTAACTCGAGCGGGAAGGAAGGTCCAGCTTTTCATATGAGAAAATGCCCTCACCCCACCA